TTTTTTTTAATGGAAAATAAAAATTTTTCCCCAAAATTTCCCACTTGGAAAAATCCCATTTTTTTAAAATAAAAAACCCTGGAATTTCGAGCTTTTTATGCCGAAATAAAAATCCTGGAATGTCGAGCAGGGAGGGAATTTTTTCTGGGACATTCCCAAAGCTCTTCCCACTTTTTCCATATTTTTTGAAGGAAAAGCTGATTTTTCCTAAAATCCCGGATTTTTTTCCCCCTCTGGAATTGCCTTATCCCGGGAATCTGCAAGCTCAGCAATTCCCAAGATTCCCAGAGGGAAGTTGGGGAAAATTCCAATGGATTTTCCCTTTTTTTTTTTTTTTTTTTCTTTTTCCAGGAATTTTCCCTTTTTTTCCTTGGAATGTTTGTCTATATTAGACAAATTCCCTCCCAGTCCTGTTTTATTCCCATTTTTTTATTGGATCAGGAGGGGAAAATTCCCCAATTTTCCCTTTTTTTTCCCCAATTTTTTCCCCAATTTTCCCAATTTTTTTGCCTCCCCCCCAGAACAGAATATTTATGAATATTTAAATATTTTTGGGACAATTCCCCTTTTTTTCCTGGGAATTCTCCTCATCCAGAGGTTGGGGGTGGGGTTGGAATTTTTGGGATTGGGATTTTTTTTCTCTTTGTTTTTTTGGGGATTTGCCTGTTCCAAAAGGAGAAATTTGGGAATTCTGGGGGTGGGGGGGTGGGGGGAATTTTCCAGGAGAGAAAAAAAAAAAGGATTTGGCTCTTTGGAATAGAATTCATGGAATTTTCCTGGACTTGGGACAGAATTCATGGAATTTTCCTGGATCTGGGACAGAATTAATGGAATTTTCGTGGACTGGGAGTGGATTTTTCCTGGACTTGGAAGAGAATTCATGGAATTTTCCTGGACTTGGACTGGAATTTTCCAGGATTTGGGATGGAATTTGTGGAATTTTCCTTGGATTTGGGACCGAATTCATGGAATTTTCCTGGACTTGGAACAGAATTCGTGGAATTTTTGTGGACTAGCAATGGAATTAATGGAATTTTTTTAGGATTTGGGATGAAATTCATAGAATTTTTCCCAGACTGGGGACAGAATTCCTGGAATTTTCCTGGATTTGGGATGGAATTCCTGGAATTTTCAAGCTGCCATTCCCAGGGAGAATCTGGTGCCTCTGGATCATGGATGGAATTCTCCTGGAATTCCTGGAATGTTCGTGGAATTTTCCTGCATTTATGAATGAAACTCGTGGAATTTTCATGGATTTGGGAATGGATTTCTCTTGGATTGGGAATGGAATTCCTGGGATTTCCCTGGAATTTTCCTGGATTTTCCCTGGAATTTTTCTGTCTTGGGAATGGAATTCCTGGAATTTTCCTGGAATGGAATTTTCAAGGAATGGGAATGGAATTCCTGGAAATTTCCTTGATTTTTCCCTGGAATTTCCCTGGAATTTTCCGGGATCTGGAATGGAATTCCTGGGATTTCCGTGTCCAGCCTGGAATTGTTGTCACCGTTGTCCCCTCGGGGCCACCAAGGACCCGCGGGGGCTCCTGAACCCCCCGGGCCCGGCTGGGGACACTGGGGGGACACTGGGGGGACATCATTGGGGACACTGGGACAGCCCTGGGGACACTGGGACAAGGGGACAGCCCTGGGGACATCACTGGGACATCAGAGAGGACATTGGGGACAGCCCCGGGGACATTGGGGACAGCCCTGGGGACGTTAATGGGGACACGGGGACAGCAATGGCGACCCCGAGGGGATTGGGGGAACGTGGGGGGACATGGGGACAGCCCTGAGGTGGCCTTGGGGACAGCATGGAGACACTCAGGGTTGGCACAGAGGGACAGGAGACCCCGCGGGTGGTGGCGGAGGGAGGGGACAGTCCCGGCCCTTTGGGGACAATGGTGACACTTGCGTGTCCCCCAAGTCGCCATCACGGCCCCGCTCAGAACTACAACTCCCGGCATGCTTCGCGCCGCACCACGCCTAGACGGGGCGCGCTGATTGGCTGCGGGGTCTGCACCAATCAGCGGGCGCGTTGTTGGGCGTTGTGGGGCGCGGGCCGGCGCTGTGAGAAGGGGTCAAGATGGTTCTGGAGAGCACCATGGTGTGGTGAGAGAGGCGGCGGCGACCCCGGGACCCCCCGTGCTGCCCCCCGGCACCCTCACGGCAACCCCCGACCCCGCCCGGCCCGGCCCGGCCGCTTTCCCTGAGTCATGGCGGGCCCGGCCTGAGGGCTGGGGGGGGTTGGAGGGGCTGAGGGGACAGAAGGGGACGGGAGGGGACAGAGGGGGACGTGAGGGGACAGGGAAGGATGTGAGGGGACAGAAGGGACGTGAGGGGACAGGGAGGGGACGTGAGGGGACAGAGAGGGATGTGAGGGGACAGAAGGGACGTGAGGGGACAGAGAGGGACGTGAGGGGACGTGAGGGGACAGGGAAGGATGTGAGGGGACAGAGAGGGGACGTGAGGGGACCGAAGGGATGTGAGGGGACAGGGAGGGATGTGAGGGAACAGAAGGGATGTGAGGGGACAGAGAGGAATGTGAGGGGACAGATGGGGCTGGGCTGAGGGGCAGACAGGGCCTGAGGGGAATTTATGGGGCTGAGGGAGATTTTGGGGTGTCTGAGGGAACTTGAATGTTCTCAGGGAATTTAGGGAGATCTTAGGAGGTTTAACAGGGTCTCAAGGGATTTTGGGTGGTCTGAGAGGATTTAGGAAGGCTGAGGATTCTGGGTGTCACTGAGGGAGTTCAGGGTGTTTCTCTGAGGCTTTCCCCCTCACATTCCCGGTGTTTTTTCCCTGAGGATTTTGGGAGGCTCTGAGGGAGTTCTGGGGGGTTTCTCTGAGGGTTCCTCCATCACATTCCCGATGTTTTTGTCTGAGGATTTTGGGTGTCGCTGAGTGAGTTCCAGAGCGTTTCTCTGAGGTTCCCCCCCCCATTCCCGGTTTTTGTTTTTCCCTGGAATTGCAGCGTGGATAACAGCGAGTACATGCGCAACGGGGACTTTCTGCCCACGCGGCTGCAGGCGCAGCAGGACGCCGTCAACATCGTGTGCCACTCCAAAACCCGCAGCAACCCCGAGAACAACGTGGGGCTCATCACCCTGGCCAAGTGAGCGCCCGGGAGTGCCGGGGAGAGCGGCTGGGAATGAGGGAGAAGGGGATGGGGATCGTTGCGGACCTCTTGCTGATTTGCTCCCGGGGAGGGGGAGTTTTCCTCCGCGGTTCCCGGGGCTCTCTCCCTGCGAGGGCATTGCGGGGCTCTGCCTTTCCCCGCAGTAACTGCGAGGTGCTGACCACGCTGACGCCCGACACCGGCCGCATCCTGTCCAAGCTGCACACCGTGCAGCCCAAGGGCAAGATCACCTTCGGCACCGGCATCCGCGTGGCCCACGTGAGTGCCCCTCCCTCATTCCCAAGGGATTCACGGAATTTCTGGGGTTTTTCCCCGATTTTTGAGGGGCGTGGACGCGGGAAATCGGATTTTTGGCTTCGGCGTTCCTTCGGGCTTTGGGGCAGAAAGGATGGGAGGGTTTAAAGGTTGGTGTGAATCGGTGGAATTCTGGCTTAAATCCATCAAAATCCTGGGAAATCCCACAGAAACCAATGGGAATCCCACAGAAATCCCATGGGAATCCATGGAAATCCATGGGAATCCATGGAAATCCCACAGAAATCCCAGGAAAATAAATCTAAAACTGAAGAAATCCAAACTAAATCCATGGAATTCCCACATAAACCCATGGAAATCCAACCTAAATCCCTGGAATTTTCACATAAATGCATGGAAATTTCACAGAAATCCACCGTAAATCCTTGGGAATTTCACATAAACCCATGGAAATAAACAGTAAATCCATGGAAATTTAACAGACACACCCCCCCTCCAAATCCCAAGAATTTGAGCCCAGCCCTGCTGTGCCCCCCCTACCCCCACCCCCTGGAGCAGATCCCGGGATCTGGGGGGATCCCCGTTTTCCTGGGAATGGCCCCAAATCCCGGGATTTGTGTGCAGCTGGCGCTGAAGCACCGGCAGGGCAAGAACCACAAGATGAGAATCATCGCCTTCGTGGGCAGCCCCGTGCACGACAGCGACAAGGACGTGAGTGGGGTCCCACAGAGGGAGCGGCTCTGGGAGAGGGTCTGGGATCCCCACAGAGGGATCAGATCTGGGATCAGGTCTGGGAGAGGGTCTGGGGAATGTGGGGTCAGGTCTGGGATCACAGTGGGATTGGCTCTGGGTCCTGCTGATCCCGAGGCATTCCTGGTGTTTCCCAGCTGGTGAAGTTGGCCAAGCGCCTGAAGAAGGAGAAGGTCAACGTGGACATCATCAACTTTGGGGAGGAGGTGAGAATCCGGGAATTGCCACATTCCAGGTGGAATTCTGGGGCCTTTCCCACATTCCAGACAGGAATCCTGGGAATTCCACATTCCCACCCCCGATTTCCTACTGGGAATTCACTGAGACTTCCACCCACCAAACCCCAAACCCTTTTCCCTCCCCCAGCACCAAACCCCACATCCCAGCGCTCCCCACGATTCCCAAGTCCCGTTTTTTGGTGTTCTTGTCCCCAGGAAGCCAACACGGAGAAGCTGACGGCGTTCATCACGGCGCTCAACGGCAAGGACGGCAGCGGCTCGCACCTGGTGACCGTGCCCCCCGGGCCCAGCCTGGCCGACGCCCTCATCAGCTCCCCCATCCTGGCCGGGGAGGGGGGCGCCATGCTGGGCCTGGGGGCCTCCGACTTCGAGTTCGGGGTGGATCCCAGTGCTGACCCCGAGCTGGCGCTGGTAGGGGTCACGGAATTCCCAAAATTCCCAAAATTCGGTGTTTCCGGCACCGAAATCCCATAAAATCCCGAATTTCGCTGTTCCCCCATCCATGCCCCGATTCCCCCATCCCTGCTGGGCCTGGGGGTTCAGACTTCGAGTTCAGGGAGGATCCCAGTGCTGATCCCAAGCTAGTGCTGGTAGGAATCCCAGAAATCCCAAAATTCCATGGGATTGGGAATCTCCAACATCAGAATCCCACAAACCCCAAATCCCCCAACTCTCCCAACAGTGTGACCCCAAAATTCCCAAGGATTGGGAATTTCCAACATCAGCCCCCCCAAACCCTTGGCTCCCAGCCCCCTCCCCTCCCTCATTCCCAGTGTTTCCCTCTCCCAACTCCGGGAATTCTGGGATTTTCCAGGCGCTGCGCGTGTCCATGGAGGAGCAGCGGCAGCGGCAGGAGGAGGAGGCCCGGAGGGCGGCGGCGGCCTCGGCAGCGGAGGCCGGGATTGCCGCGGCCGGGGGGGATGGTGAGCGTCTGTGGGACTGGGAATGGGACTGGGAATGGGATCTGTGGGATTGGGAACGGCATTTATGGGATGGACATTCGGGAGAAATGCTTCCTGGGAGGGTGGGGATGCCCATTCCAGGCTATCCCGTGGATTATTCCCAGGCTGGTCCATGGATTCTTAGGCTGTCCCATGGATTATTCCCTGGGTTGTTCCATGGATTATTCTATGGATAATTCCCATTATTCCTGCAGAATCAGACGAGGCCCTGCTCAAGATGACCATGGGGCATTGTCCCATGGGTATCCCATGGATTTATTCCCGTTTTTCCCCAGAATCAGACGAGGCCCTGCTCAAGATGACCATGGGGCATTGTCCCATGGGTATCCCATGGATTTATTCCCGTTTTTCCTGCAGAGTCAGACGAGGCCCTGCTCAAGATGACCATGGGGCAGCCGGAGTTTGGCCGGGCGGGGCTGCCGGACCTGAGCTCCATGAGCGAGGAGGAGCAGATCGCCTACGCCATGCAGATGTCCCTGCAGGGCGCCGGTGAGTGCCCTTCCCGGCCGGGAAAACCTGGGAAAAACACCGGGAGAACCTGGGAAAAACACCGGGAGAACCTGGGAAAGACTCGGGAGAAACTTGGCAAAGACTTGGGAAAGAGTCAGGGAAAACCCGGGGAAAAACCTTGGAAAGACTCAGGGAAAACTCAGGAAAGACACAGGAAAAGCTCAGGGAAAACCCTGGGAAAGACTCGGGAAAAGCTTGGGAAAGACTCAGGGAAAAACTTGGGGAAAAGCTCAGGAAAAACCTTGGGAAAGACTTGGGAAAATCTCAGGAAAAAAATCAAGAAATACTGGGGAAAAAATTTGGGAATTCTCACCCGGGGTTTGGGTTGGAAGGTGTTTGGTTTTTTTTTCCCACAGATTTTTGGGGTGGGATTGGGGATTTTGGAAAATTTGCCCAAGCTGAGGTGGACAAGGTGGGGAAAACCCCAGGAAAATCTTGGAAAAACCCCAGGAAAACCTTGGGAATTTTAGCCTGGCTGGTCCCAGGGTTTGTTTTTCCGTGGATTTTTGTGTTTCCATGGATTTCTGGGGTTTGCAGAGTTTGCCCAGGCCGAGGCAGCCGAGGTCGACAGCGGAGCAGCCATGGACACGTCTGAGCCTGCCAAGGTCAGGCTGAGGGAATTCCTGGAATTCCCAGCACATCCCATCATTCCCATCAATCCCATCCCATCAATCCGATTATTCCCATAAATCCTATCCCATCAGTGCCATAAATGCCATAAATCCCCTCCCATTATTCCCATCCATCCCCTCCCATCAATCCCATTATTCCCTTCAATCCCATCGCTCCCACCCATTTTCTTGTGGATCCAGATGGTCCCAAATTCCCTGGGATGGTCCCAAATTCCCTGGATTTCCCTGTGCATCCTGACGATCCCAAATCCCTCAGGACGATCCCAAATCCCCCCGGATTTTCCCGGATTTTCCCGGAATTCCCGCTTTCCCTGCAGGAGGAGGACGACTACGACGTGATGCAGGACCCGGAATTCCTGCAGAGCGTCCTGGAAAACCTTCCCGGGGTGGATCCCAACAACGAGGCCATCCGGAATGCCATGGGATCCCTGGCGTCCCAGGCGGCCCGGGAGAACCGGGAAAACCGGGAAAACCGCGACAGGAAGGACGAGGAGAAGAAATGAAACCCCCGGGAAAAACGGGTGGGAATTGTTCGGGAATCGCAGAAATAAAAGGAATCAAAGGAGTTTGTTGGGAATGGTGGGAATCGAAGGGATTTCTTGGGAATCATGGGAATAATAAAAGGAATTTCCTTGGGAATTGCAGGAATAAAAGAAACTCCTGGACTGGGGGAACTGGAACTTTGGAATTCTCTATACTGGGAACGGGAATTCCCTGGAATTCCTGCAGCAGCTCCCGGCATCCCCCGCGCGCTGTTTACCGTGAGACCGAGGGGCGGGGCGGGGCTGGGCTGGGCTATGAATGGACAGCTAAGTCAACCAATCAGCGAACTGGAAGACCGGATGTTGTCATTTTGGCAGCCAATAAAATGAGAAGGAAGGCGGGGTTGATTAAGAGTGGCAGCTCTGTGGACCAATGAACGACGGGGATAGACTTGGCGGGCTTTTGGGCACTCCAGCCAATGAGAGCGAGAAGACAGAAGCGGCCTTGATTGACAGCTCTGTCCACCAATTGCATCGCAGAGGAGGCGGAAGAGGGCGCGACAACCCCTCAGACGCTTCTGTGAGTGACAGCGCTGGCCGCGAATGGGAGGAGGGGGCTGAAGCCATTCCGGGCCCGGGTTCTGGTGCTGAGGGAAAAATCCCGCGCCCAGTAGGAGCTCCTGGCTGGGAGACGCCGCCATTGACGCTCCTTGAGGCCAATGGCGGTCGGAAGCCGCGCTTGATAAACAGCGCGCTTTGACCAAAGAGAAGCGAGGTGAGGCGGGCGTTAATTGACAGACAGCGCTGTCCATTAATCCGCAGCGAGATGCGCCAGCACTGGCAGCCAATAGGAAGCGATGACGCCGCGCTGGGCGGGGCTTTGTGAGTTGAGTGATACCCACGCTCCCCAATCAACACATCCAGTGAGGGGCAGTTCCTGCTCAGCCAATGGGGAGTGCGGACCGCCGCGATCAGCGTTGAGTGACAGCAGAGTGGACCAATCAGAATGTGCGATTTGATGATTGACGGGCAATTCAGCCAAGGGGAAAGCGTGGCGAGGGCGGGAGCGCGCGGCGCGAGCGGCCGGCGGGGCAGGGGGGGCCAAGCAGGAAGTGGCGGAGGGGAAGTGGCGCCGCTGAGGGGCCCGAGCGGGACCGGGATCGGGAACCGGGATCTGGAACCGGGAATTGGGATCGGGAATTGGGATCGAGAAGCGGGATCGGCATCGGGAAGCGGCAGCGGCAGCCGGGGAGCGGCCCCCGCGCGCAGCTCCAGGTAACGGGGCCTGAGGGGCGGGAGAGGCCTGAGGGGGTCAAGGCCTGAGGGGGGGCGAGGCCTGGGCGGGAAGCGCGGCCTGAGGGGGCCCGGCGGGAGGGGGCAAAACGCTCCCAAAATCCCGGGATTTAGGGGGGTTATGGTCACCTCTGCCCTCCCAAAATCCCGGGATCTGGGGGGGGGTCATGGTCACCTCTACCCTCCCAAAATCCCGGCATTTAGGGGGGTCACGGTCACCCTCTTCCATCCCAAATCCCGGGATTTTGAGGGGTCATCTTCACGTCTTCCCACAAAAAAAAAAAAAATCCCGGGATTTGTGGGGATCAGGATCATCCCCCCCCGCCATCCTGATATTTTGGGGGCTCATCCCAAATCCTGGGATTGTGGAGGGGTCACGGTCACACCCTTCATCCTGGAATTTTTGGGGATTTTGAGATTGGGGTGGGGGATTTGGGATCGGGATGGAGACCTTGGGATTGGGAATTTAGGATTGGAATGAGGAGTTTGGGAGGGGGAATTTGGGATCGGGAGTTTGGGATCAGTGTGAGGAGTTTGGGATCGGGATAGGGAGTTTGGGATGGGAAATTTGGGATCAGGATAGGAAATTTGGGATCGAGATTGAGAGTCTGGGATGGGGGATTTGGGATCGGGATGGAGACCTTGGGATCCTGAATATTTGGGAAAATCCCAAAATCCCGCTGTACTCCCCCCCCCAGTCCTTTTGGGAATCCCGGGACAATCGGGAATCCCGAGCCCTCCTGGCTCCCTTTCCCGTTGGGATTTTCGGGGTCCCGGGATCGGGGCCGCGGCCCCGGGGCCGGCAGATGGTCGGGATTTAATTCCCTCCAAATCCCGGGAATTTAATCCCGCTCGGATCCCTCGGGAGGAGGCGGCTGCGGCGGCACGGGGGGCGGGAGGGGGATTTTGGGATGGGGGTTTGGGATGGGGAATCGGGATCGGGATGGAGAGTTTGGGATCAGGGGTTTGGGATCAGGGCAAGAAGTTTGGGATCAGTTTGGAAGCCGGGATTTGCCAGGTGGAATTTTGGGATAATCCCTCCCCGTTTGTGGCTGTCCCGCTTTTCCCACCTCCTTTTCCATGGAAAACTGAGCCGGGAAGGATTTTCCAAACCCCCACTCCTGATCCCAAACAGCTCCTTTAGGATTTCCCAGGCCTGGGTGTGTTTATTCCCGAAAAAAAAAAACAAACCAGGAAGAAGGAGTTGGGGTGGGGAAATCATTCCCAAAGGTTTGGATGTGAATGGGGAAGGACAAGGAGCACAATTCCCCCCTGGAAAAAAAATTCCCAAAGGAATTTCCAAAGGATTAATTCCCAGCCTGGGGATAAAAGGACAGGAAAAAGGGGATTTGGGAAGGAAAAGCCTCTCCCGAGGGCAATTCCAGAGGGAAAATGAATGGAATTCCACCTGCTGGGGGGGGTCAGGAGCCTCAAATCCCGAGGGAATTTGGGGCTGGAATTGGGGTTGGAATTGGGGCTGGAATTTGGGGCTGGAATTGGGGTTGGATCCATGGCTTTTTCCCCTTTTTCCTGGTTTTCTAAACTGGAAAATCGTGGGATCCAAACCCCTCTTTATTTAAATCTTTCACTAAAAAAAAAAAAAAAAAAAATCCTTGGAGATTGCTGGGAAGGGAGGTTTTGGGATGAGAAGGGGATTTTTGGGATAAAAGGGGAATATTTGGGAGGGGAATGGAGATTTTTGGGACAGGAATGGGAATTTTTGGGATAGGAATGGAATGAAAATAGGAATGGAATAAAAATAAACTGGAATGGAAATGGGAATGGAGATAAAATAAAAATAGGAATGGAATGGGAATGAAATAGAAATAAAATGGGATGAGAATGGGAATTAAATGGGAACGGAATAAAAATGGGAATGGGAATGGAATAAAAATGGGAATGGAATGAAAGTGAAATAGAAATAAAATGGAATGGGAATGGGAATTAAATGTGAATGAAATGGAAAATGAATGGAATGGGAGTGGAATAAAAACAGGAATGGAATGGGAAGGAGCAGGCGGCAGAGCAGCAGAATTCCCTGGGGTTTGTGGGGATGGAACCCCAGGAATTCCCACCGGGAACCCCCAATTGCCCCCCCAGCCCTCCCCAGCCATGGGGGACATGAAAACGCCGGATTTCGACGACCTCCTGGCCGCCTTCGACATCCCCGACATCGACGCCAACGAGGCCATCCAGCCGCACCACGAGGAGCCCGAGTCCCACGGGAAACAAATCCCGGGGGACGCGGCCGCGGCCGAGCCCGCCCTGCCCCACGCCGACATCTCGGCCGTCAGCGTCATCGTCAAGAACACCGTGTGCCCCGAGCAGCTGGACAGCCTGGACCCCCGCGCCAAGGACGGCCACGGCCTGGCCCCCCGCCTCCTCCACAACGGCTTCGGGGCCCCCGACGCCGCCAGATCGCCCGGGGCCCGCGCGGCCGAGGCGCCGTCCAACGGGGAGTGCTGGGCCAAGGAGAAGAACCCGAAAACTTTGGATTTGTTCTCGCACTTCAGCCCCGACCCCAGCGAGGACGGCGCCAACCTGATCGACAGGTCCCGGGAATGCAAAGCCAAGGAGAAATCCCTGGCCGTGCCTTCCCTGGCCGCGTCCCCCACCCCATCCTCCATGGACTGCAAGGAGCCCCTGGGAGAAGCCGCGGGGGGCTTGGATCCCGCTTTTCCCGGCCCGTTCCGCGCCGCCGACGGATCCCACCCCGTGCCCTGCATCAAGAAGGAGGAGTCGGACGCGGAGGAGGCTCCGGGCAGGAGTTCCAGCCCCAAGGGCTTGGTCCTGGATCACCTGAAATCCGTCACCGTGCGTTATTCCGCCGAGGAGTCTCCGCCGGCGGCGGCGCCGTGGCCGGGCTCGGATCCCGGCATCGACGCCGCGGCCGAGCTCAAACGCTCGCCGGGGAGCCCTCGGGAATCCTTCTCCTCCCCCGGCATCCCCATCCCGTCCTCTTCTCCCAAACTCCTGAAGGAAGAGCGGGAAATGCTGGAGAAATCCGTGAGGAGCCCCCCGAGCGTTTCCAGCGGCGAGGAGGAGGAGGAGGAGGAAGAGGAGGAGGAGGAGGAGGAGGAAAGCACCAACTCGCCGTCCTCCAGCTCCTCGCGGCCGCTCAAAGTGCGCATCAAAACCATCAAGACCTCCTGTGGCAGCATCACCAGGACGGTCACCAGGGTGAGCTCGGACTCGGAGCCGCCCTCCAGCAGAGCCCCCGGCGAGCAGAATTCCCAGGAAACCCCGGAACGCCCCGGGACGGGCACGGAGGCGGCGCCCAAGGAGAAACCGGAGCTTTGCAGCCCTCTGAGAAACGCGGAAGGGCCGAAAATCGTCAGCGTGCAGCTGGGCAACGGCACCAAGCTGAAGGGCACGGTGCTGCCCGTGGCCGCCATCCAGAGCGCCAGCAGCGCCATGCTCATCGCCGCCAGCGTGGCCCAGCAGAAATCCGTGGTTCTCCCGGCGAAATCCGGCAAGTCCGTGGCTAAAAACATCCTGAACTTGGTGCCGCAGCCCCTGCCCAAGGGCGACGGCAGGACCAACGGCGGCGCCAAGGTGAACGGCGGCGCGGCGCCGCCCAAATCGTCGCCCAGCGTGGCCGGCACCGTCATCTCCCGCAGCCAGTCCAGCCTGGTGGAGGCCTTCAACAAAATCCTCAACAGCAAGAACCTGCTGCCCACCTACAAACCCAACCTGAGCCCCCCGGCCGAGTCCAGCCTGGCCCTGCCGCCGCTGGGCTACCGCTGCCTGGAGTGCGGCGACGCCTTCGCGCTGGAGAAGAGCCTGGCGCGGCACTACGACCGGCGCAGCATGCGCATCGAGGTGACGTGCAACCACTGCACCAAGCGCCTGGTGTTCTTCAACAAGTGCAGCCTGCTGCTGCACGCCCGCGAGCACAAGGACAAGGGGCTGGTGATGCAGTGCTCGCACCTGGTGATGCGCCCCATCGCCCTGGAGCAGATGATCGGGCAGCCCGACGTGACCCCGCTGGCGTCGCTGGCGCTGCCGGCCCCGAAGGTGGCTCAGGACGGGGGGAATCCGGCACAGGAGATGCCGGTGCTGCCCCTGGGCCCGGAGCAGAGCAGCTACAGCTGCTTCAGGTGCCTGGAGTGCAAGGAGCAGTGCAAGGACAAGGCGGGGCTGGCGGCGCATTTCCAGCAGGTGGGGGTGGCCACCAGCAGCAGCAGCACGGTGAGAGAGGGCAGAACAACGGGAGGAGGTGGGGAAGGTGGCGGGGGAGAACGGGGAGGTGGTGGGAAGGTGCTGGAGAAGGTGGGATGGTGGTGGAGGAGCTGAGAGGTGGGAGAGAAGTGGGAGAAGGTGGGGGTGGAGAAGTGGGGGATGGTGGGAAGGTGGCAGGACAAGGTGGGAAGTTTTTTGGGATCCTGGTTCCAATTGGAATTTTCCCAGGGTTTTTTTTGATCCTGATCCCTGCTGGGAATTTCCCCAGGAACTTTTTTAGAATCCTGATCCCCATCGGGAATTTTCCAAAATCCCAGATCCATTTTGGATTCATTCCTTGATAGAATTTTCCCAGAACTGGTTTGGATCCTGGTTCCAGTTGGGAATTTTCCCAGAACTTTTTAGTATCCTAATCCCTTTTGGGAATTTTCCAAGATCCCAAGCCCATTCTGGATCCATTCCTCCACGGAGTCTTCCCCGAATGTTTTGAGATCCTGATCCCTGCTGGGAATTTTCCCTTCATTTTTTTGGGATCCTCAGACCCCTGCAGGGCCCAGAATTCCCAGGATTCCGTGTCTAAGTCCCAGGTTTCCCCAGGTGTGCTCGGCGTGCCCCATGATCCTGTCCAACCGCTGCAGCTTCAGCGCCCACCAGCGCATGCACCGCAGCCGCCCCCCCCACGTGTGCCCCGAGTGCGGCGGCAACTTCCTGCTGGCCAACTTCGAGGGGCACCTCAAGGACTCCTGCCTGCACTTCTCCCGCAGGGTGGGATACAGGTGAGGGGGCTGGGACCCCCAGGAGCGCCGGGAATTCCGAGGGAGGGTGGCAAGGCCATGGAAGAGTCCAAAAGTGGAGTTTTTGCCCCAGAATGGGGTGGGAATTTCCTGCTGGCCAAAAAGCGCTGGCCACCACCTCAAGGAGCCCTCCCGCAGTGTGGGGTACAGGTATGGAGCCAGGGAATTCCAGGAATCCTGGGAGTTCCAAGGAGAGCCACTGGAAAGGGTGGTGGGGCTGTTGGGAAGGTCCAGAAATAGTTTGGGTTGGGAATTTCCCAGAACTGGTTTGGATCCTGATCCCTGCTGGAATTTCCCCAGAACTTTTTTGGGATCCTGCTTCCCGTTAGGAATTCCTCAGCCCTAATTTGGGATCCGTGATTCCCCTGGGATGTTCCCAACCCTGATGTGGGATCCCCCCAGGTGTCCCAGCTGCTCCGTGGTGTTTGGCGGCGTCAATTCCATCAAGTCCCACATCCAGAGCTCGCACTGCGAGGTTTTCCACAAGTGCCCCATCTGCCCCATGGCCTTCAAATCCGCGCCCAGCGCCCACGCCCACGTCTACACGCAGCACCCCGGCTTCAGCAACCAGCAATCCAAGTGAGTGTTCCCAGAAAAACCCCAAATATTCCCGGATTTCACCCCCAAACACACACAGCCCCCCCCACCCATCCTGCGGGATCCGCGCTGCGGCGGGGCCGGGGCAGAGCCCGAGGGGAAGTTTGGAAGTTTGGGGTGGAGATTTGGGAATAAGAAATTGGAATGGGAGATTTGGGGATGGGAGATTTGGAGATGTGGGAATGGGAGATTTGGGAATAGGAGATTTCTCCCCATTTCCCCTTTTTTTTCCCCGTTTTTCCCATATTCTCCCCCCCATTTCCCATGTTCCTTTCCCCAATTTCCCATGGGATTTTTTCCATTTTTCCCCATTTCCCATGGTTTTTTTTCCCCCGTTTTTCCCATATTTTTTCCCCCCAATTTCCCATGTTGTTTTTTTTTTCCCGTTTTTCCCCATTTCCCACGTTTTCTCCCCAGGATGATTTACAAGTGTGCCATGTGTGACACGGTGTTCACCCACAAGCCGCTGCTCTCGTCCCACTTTGACCAGCACCTGCTGCCGCAGCGCGTCAGCGTCTTCCGCTGCCCCCAGTGCCCGCTGCTCTTCGCCCAGAAACGCACCATGCTCGAGCACCTCAAGGTCAGGCACAGCTCTGGGGGAAAATGCTGAAACTCTGGGAAAAAATGGAAAAAAAAAATCCAAAAAAACCCCGGCGAAACCTCAATCAAAAACGGCGAAATTCCGGCCAAAAATGCTGGGATTTCAGCCCCAAATTGGGAGAAATTGGGATTTTTTCCATCCCAAACCATTCCAGGATTCCCTGCCCTGCTTTATTTGGGATTTTTGGGATAAATCCCGGATCCTGCCCAGGGAATTCCATGGATTTCTAGGGATAAATCCCAGATCCTTACCCGGGTTTTTCCATGGATTTCCCACCCATTGGATCCCCCTGGCATTCTGGGAATTCCCCTCACACTTTCTGCCCCCAACCCAAAATTCCCACCCCGAAGTTCCCCAACTCTGCCATTCCCAGAATTCCCACCAAGCCCAGAAATCCAAGGACGACTCTTCCAAGAAATCCCCGGCCCTGCTGACCCCCAAGCCGGAGCCCCTGGAGACTCCGGTGTCCAAGAATTCCGAGGAGTCCTCGAGCTCCACGGAGGAGGAGGAGGAGGAGGAGGAGCCCCCGAGCTCCCCGGAATTCCGGAAATCCAAGCGGAGCCGATTCCAGCGGAAATCCGGGAGCAAATCCAAGGGCAGCGGCTGGAGCTGCGGCGTTTGCCACTCGTGGTTCCCCGAGAGGGACGAGTACGTGGCACACATGAAGAAGGAGCACGGCAAGGTGGGATTCGGGGATTTTCTGGTGCGGGATTTGGGATTTTTTCCCCAATTTTTCCCATTATTTTCCCCGATTTTTTTCTGGTTTTTTTCACGACTTTTTTCTGTTTTTTCCCCGGTTTTTTTCCCAGTTTTTCCCATTATTTTTCCCCATTTTTCCTGTCTCCCCTGCAGTCGGTGAAGAAGTTCCCGTGCTGGGGTTTTTCCCTGATTTTTTTTTTTTTCTATTTTTCCCCTTTCTCTTCCCGATTTTTTCCCCATTTTTTCCCATATTTTCCCCATTATTTTCCCGGGTTTTTCCCATTATTTTTCCCGGTTTTCCCCATTATTTTCCCCGTTTCTCTCCCCCTGCAGTCGGTGAAGAAGTTCCCGTGCCACCTGTGCGAGCGCTCCTTCTGCTCGGCCCCGAGCCTGCGGCGCCACGTCCGCGTCAACCACGAGGGCATCAAACGGGTCTATCCCTGCAGGTATCCCAAAAAAAAACCCCGGGAATTCCGGGAATTCTGGGATCCAGGGTGGGGCATCAAACGGGTCTATCCCTGCAGGTATCCCAAAAAAAAACCCCGGGAATTCCGGGAATTCTGGGATCAGAATTCCCATTTTAGGGTTGAGAATTTCGGAATTCCGTGCTCAGCATTCCCGTTTTGGGGTGGGAACTCTGGAATTCCGTGCTCAGCATTCCCGCTGTTCCCGGGTTTTGCCCCAGGTACTGCACGGAGGGCAAGCGGACGTTCAGCAGCCGCCTGATCCTGGAGAAGCACATCCAGGTGCGCCACGGCATCAAAGGCAGCGACCCCGCCCGCAGCCAGGAGATCGTCATCGCCCGCGGCCCCGCCCAGGTGGGACAGCCCGGAATTCCCGGGAATTTCTGGGGATTTCGGGAAAGTTTTCGGGGGAATTTTGGGGGTTTCAGGAGGGGTTCGGGGTTGTTTTATCCAGCAGTTCCTCCTCGCAACCGCCCCAATTCCCGAGGGACTCACCCCTAAATCCTCTCCTTTCCCATAATCCCAACCCCAAACCTTTGGAATTCCTTCGATTTCTTGGGAATTTTGGGAATTTCCTGGGAATTTCAGGAAGGGAAACTTTGGGTGTTTCAGGAGGGCTTCGGGGTTGTTTTATCCAGCAATTCCTCCTCACAAGCGCCCCAGTTCCCCAGGGCTTCACCCCTGAATCCTCTCCCGTAATCCCAACCTTCGGGACTCCCGGGATTCCCGGGATTCTCCCCGTTTTCCCAGGCTGCCGGCCGGAAGCGCAAGCTCTCCTCGGACGATTCGTGCAGCGAGGAGCCCGACAGCACCACCCCGCCCTCGCAGAGCGCCCGGCCCGGCTGCTCCTCCCGGGCCGCCCCGTTCCGCTGCAGGAAGTGCGGGTTCCTGGCGGCGAGCCGGGCGGAATTCCAGGCCCACATTCCCCAGCACCGCACGGACGGGAATTCCCAGCAGTGCCGCGAGTGCGGGCTCTGCTTCACCTCGCACGGCTCCCTGAGCCGGCACCGCTTCATCTCCCACAAGAAGAGGAGAGGGGCCGAGCCCGAGGAGGGAGCAGCGAGCGCTGCCCAGGGCAGGAATCCCGCCGGGAATCCCGCCGGGAATTCCGCAGGAGGAGCAGCAGCAGGAGGAGGAGGAGGAGGAGGAGGCGGGGAGGGGAATCTGCTGGAGTGCAAAGTCTGTGGGAAAGGATTCGAGACTCAGCTCAACCTCAAGACGCATTTCCGGACCC